CAGCAGGTCCCAGTGGGCCTGTCCTAAATTGATTTTGTAATTCATTTAGCTCATGTATACTTTTGGCCTCTGAAACATCCCTTGAAACTGAATTTCCGAGTATGAGTTTGGCAGTCTCAAAAAGTACCTCCATTTAAACAGGTCATCTGATAATCCCAGCAAGTGCCTCTGGCACTTAATGAAGTAAATATACAGTGATTTTAAAGACCTTTGTCATTCTCCGTTTGTTGCTCCTTCCTCACAGGACTCGTAGTCTGCCTTGTGTAAAGTCTCTGACTGTACTTATTTCCTTTTCTGAATCTTCTCCAGTTTTTTTTGAAATTTTCAGCGTTTTTTGGAGATCGGTGGGCAGAAACGCACGTTCAGTTCAAGATGCCCACGTTCTGTGGATACCCAGGACGCTCTCCGTTTTCTGTTCATTTCTGCATATCCTGAACATGTTTTGCTTCTTCCTTTCTATAATATTTTGTGACATTCTCAATGCTTTTTTGACTGCTTTTGAGTCAAAAAAACATTGACATTTTCACCTGTGGTAACTCTGGTAACTCTGAGATCCTTTTCCCAAGTAGTGACAGCTGTTTCAGAGTTCATCGTATGGACGTACGGTTCAGTTGTTCGTCCCTCTGCTCATTACGTTGCCTTTTAAATGCACTGAGCTTTTTTAGTCAATGTTTTGAGGTCCTTCTGCAACTCTCGAGATTAACCAAGTTTAATCTTTTGTTATGCAGAATCATTTTATTTCATTTTATTTATTTATTCACGCCTACAGGCTCGCATCGTGGGCTGTTTCTGCCTTCTAGATGATTTATGTTGAATGGCAGAGGTCGTAGCACGCTTCGCCGTGACGCCCCACCAGTACCCCCCATCACAGCAGAACCGGACTGTTTCTCCCTGTTGTTCACGCTGAAGCAGTCATTACCCTGTAGGAAGCGCTTCCCTCCGATCCCCTTGTTTAAAGGAGTCTGCTTTACTCTGCTGCTCAACCGGACAAGTTTATTTCTAAATCTTTTTAGAGTCATCTTTGGTAGGTGATAATCACTCAATCTAGGAATCTACTGTGGTTTATTTAGATAATGTCTTTGCCACTGCTATACGTGTGTGTGTGTGTTACCCTTTTAGATGCTCCTTTTAACTTCCTTTTAACTCGTTTCCATGTTTTGCTGTGGTGCCCCTTTTTATGAAGCTGAATATTACTGTGGCTCCGCGTATGACATATTTTTAGAAATTTCCTTTTCGATAGGGAGATTTTCTTTAATTAATTAAAACAAAGTTAATTAGAAATCAGGAGCTTCATTCCAGAATAATTGGTTGACATTTTCTGGCCTATGTTATGCAGAAGAATATTTAAAAACATAAGTAAGTCTCCCGGTCTTTTATTCTTTAGAAGGTTTTGGCGTTATGATTTTTTAAAGCAACTTGACTAATAGTAAACTTTTAGGAAGGTTTTGCTGTTTGATTATGGGAGGAAACAACCTTTCCTGTTTATGGGCCGTAATAGGAAAAGGATGGCATACTGCTGAAATCTCGGAGCGGGGCTTCTGGCGTGGCGGTATGGACATTTTCCTTTGTGGCAAGAAGGACAGAAATATATTTTTTCTCTTTCTTTGAGTAGATCCTGGCTAAGTGAGGTACTCTCATCTGAAATATAATCCCTTATTTCTCTTAATGCGCGGGTGGCTGTACTGTGCGCTAGACGCTTGGGTGGCTCGGGACTGCGGCTTGGGATATTAGCTGAATTTCGCTGGGAAACCTTCACGGAGACCCTGCTCCTCGGCACCCCGTTCTCCGGCTGCGCTGTTGAGGCCGGGCAGGTGTTGTCGAGCGCCCCGAGCGCGGGCGCTGGGTTGCCCGAGCGGTGGGACTGCTCCCGTTCTTTCTTCCCTGATCAGCCCGGTGTTAACGGCAGAATGCGAAAATGGAGTTAAGTGTTTGTGGCCTTATGTTACTCCTCTACCTAGGGGCAAATTCGCCCGTACTGACAAATTTGCCCTTATCTGTGACTTTTCGCGCCGCCGTGTCAGTGATAAGCTGTAGGAAGTTAACAGCCGCGGTGGGGGCTTTCCCTAAGTGCTTTGCTGGTAATTGCTTTAGTTTTTATTTTGCAGTACGTATTTCCTTTCTCTATTATTCTCCCTTTCTTCTTTTTCATATCGTTCCCGTCCGCCGTGGCAGTAAGACTAGAGGAGCAGCCATGCAGCTTCGATTTTACTAAGAAACTTCCTTCCCAGCCTGCTCCTTTTGGCGCTCTCCAACACGGCGGGTGTCGCGTTCGGAGACCCTCGGAGACCCCTGCGCTGCTCCTCATGCATATGGTTTTAGTATCCAGATAGCACTGTTAAATTAAAAAAAACCCAAAAACTAAAAAAAGCTAAGTATTTAGACTTGCTGCCGCTTAAATGCCCATTAAGCTCAGCTGCTCTGAAGCACATCTGCCTTGCACCTTTTCGATAGCAGGGCAACCTGCAGGCAGGCTCGTTTGCGTGCTCGTGTGTGCGCCCGCGCGCTCTCTCTCTCTATACATATTTACACATATACACATATGTGTCTATATTTCTGTTAACGTAGGATTTGTTCAGAAGTTTAAAATAGAAGCGCTAAACCTATTGCAGGCTCGTGAAAGCCTTAGGCACGTTTGGTGCATTTGAATAAGTGACATCAGCTGATGCTCATTTTGAAGAAGTGGCATCACGACACCTTGGTTCTGGGCTGCTCAGATGGTACAAGCCTGTGTCACTCAGTGTGTTTCGTGAGGGATTTTATACGTAGGTAGTGACGTTCATAAGGAAAAGATAACTACTTCACAAAAAATACATATTTTTAAAAAGAAAAGACACCTTCCAAAGAGTTAGATTTATGGTGCTGTTTTCCTTATTAGGGTCAGGATACGAGTAAAGGACGGTAGGTATGAGCAGAAGCCAAATTCCTTATTTACTGCAGCATCTGGGCACGTGGGCAAGGGGG